ATTATCCCAGTCCGTTTAAATTGCCTTCTTTTGGTCTAGTTCAAACTCAGTTCGACTTGAGAACTAGGCTACAAGTCTAAAAACTCTAATGATCGGATAACTACTATTGGGAATAATATGGTTCTGAGTTAGTTATATTATAATTGCCAAAGAGGGTGTTGTGATTTTCAGGGTCTTCAGGTGTTCACACCTTTTAAGAATACCTGACATTGCGAGTTATAATCAGAGAGATACATAGTTGTATAATAAATAGATGTAGTCTGCAAACACTTAGACGTAGAATATAAATATCGAAATACCTCTCAAGCTTTAGATATCATCAAGCAATGGAGAAGAGACCTTAACAATACAATATTGTTTTACGATTCTGTCTTACTTTACCGAATTTACTTTGCTCTTAGTAGTCATAAACGAAATGAGTGAACTTGAGCCTTCCTAGACAATCTCCATCTACAGAAACAAATCTTAGTTGACTTAGATAACTCTGAAGTCTATTAGGTTGTTTCTGCCTAACACTATATGAGTCAAGAAAGTAGTAGAGTAAAGCTCTTATCAAGCTTTACCAGGAGTGGGAAGAGGAGAAAGCTTAAATTGAGAGCTATAACCTCCTAAACTTGAGAATTCTCGATCCACTCCCACTCCTGCTACTGAAGGAGTGAGGAACGAATAGAAGAAGGTATATAGATTTCTTTATCTATTGAGAACAGATCTTAACCTATCTTCTCTATTCTTTTGTCATCTCAGTCCAAGCTGCTCACCCTGGCGTGGTGATAATAGAGGATAACATGCCTGCACATATCCACCATTATCATAACCAGCCATGGTAGCAGCTTGGCTTTAAGAAAATGGACTGTCTAGTGAACTCCCCAGATCTGAATCCGTTAGAAACAATCTGAGATGAGATGAAGAATTGAATTCATGAGTGTTTAGGAATTCGGCTTATCTTAGTCAGAATTCGGATTGTAGTGGAGGACAAATGGCTCTGGTATCCTATGGAGCGGATAAATGAGCCTATCATGTCCATACAGAGTCGTATAGAAGACTGTATCACTGATGGGAGGGGGGAGGGCAATTCCTTTAATCATTAGTTTTCTTAGCTTTTTTCCCTCTATTTTTTTTTTATATAATATATTATTGTAATTAACCTTTGACTTACTACTGAGTGATTTCCAAAAATATCTCTCCAGCTCACTACTCCCCTTCACCCCTCTAACTGTACTCCTACCTCACAAACTCTTCAAAAACCATGATTTAGTATTCATAAAAGAGTACTTACCTGCCTGTGCATGCAGGTCTCATGCATCATTTCTTGGCTGCATATGTGGACATACGGACCCGGTTGTTTTTACAAATGTCAGAAAATTTCGAGTACTGTACTAGTACTTGTACGAGTATGTATCAACCGGGAGGGGGTGTGGTTTGAATGATGGATCTGGGATTGCGAAATGTGTGTTTTACCTGGGTATGATAACTTGTTTTTTTTTTTACTCCCGTTCTGTAGTTGTTCCATCTGGAATTTGAAAAAAAGTGGTGGTACCTTGATAACTCCTTCTTTCCTTTCCTTTTTTTTTTTCCCTTTCTTTCCCACAACCTTGTCTTTTTATATGTTTTCTCTTCCTGTGCTACGATCCCCAGCCTAACATGGCGGACTAAACGAAAGGAAAGCCAAGCCAGGGAGGATCCATGCAGAGCGTGAAAGTATGATACTAGTATACATCGACTGACAACCCCCCTCCCCTCCTCCAGTGTTCGTGCAGTGTACCTGTACGGCACTGTATGAGTACGGGATTACACTAATCTAATGCGGATTGATTGATACTATGATCTAGTCCTCCATGACAGATATCATGTTAACCACAGACATCAAAAAATGCCTTACTCGTACGAGTACACGGAAACCCCAACACAGGGAAAGAGGAAAAACAAAAACGATGCGAACACCACACGTAGATCTTTTAGAACCCCCCCTTTCCTTCGGTTTTTTTTATTTTTATTTTTGCCAAGATTTGTGGAGCGCCCAATCATAACAAACTTTACAGGGGTAAGTTAAAGCAAAAATTGCGTGTTTGTTGGTTTTTTTATTTTTTTTTACCCGATACGTTGGTGGTCGGGTTGGGTTTTTTTCGGTGAAGATCGGGAAGGGGGAGAAATATCATAGGTGGAGGAGGATGGAGAGGAGGGGGGGAAACAAAATACTGTTTCTATGGTATTGGTATTTGTCAAGACTACGGGTACTGGTTTTGGGTGCGAAGGGGGGGAGGAAGGTAATGATCTTGGAAACCTGTTTACGTTGCCGGTACCGTTGGTGTGATCCAACCGTCCAAACTCTTACTGTACGGCACATTCCTGCCCCCATGGGATATTCGAGCATTGTGCCATGCCGTAATGATACCGTATGATTCCGTATGATTGTGGATTATGCTGTGACCATAACATTGAAGTATCACAGTGGGATAAGCATATTTGGTCCTGCCTTGTCTTGTTCTTGCCTGCATCTCATCCGATGAGCTAGAACCCCCCCACATTCTCAGACCCATCGAGTTGGGCTAAACGCACGACTGCAGCTGGGCAATGCTGAGAAGAGAGGAAGAAAAGAAAAAGAAAAAAGATGCAAAAAGAAAGAGGGAAAAAATGTGAAGGGGAGAGAGGGGGTAATACTTGGTAATCGTGCTTCCTTCATCCTCCCTTAAACTTGAAGCTAGAAGCACACTATGACACAGTTGGCAGAGAGAAGCTTCACTAGGAAGGGCATAATTGCTTTACTTGACATAGGTTCGCTGCAGGAGAAAGAAAAAAAAAAAAAAGGCAAATGGATCATGTCGTGCATCGGATCGTGAAGGGTTTTTTTTCCCATATAAATCGTGGGAAAAAAAAACAAAAACAAACCTTTGTGAATACGGCTCGTGTTTTGTTTTTCCGCTTTCCTCTCTCTCTTCCCGAGCTTCGAGCTTCCCCTGTTCTATCTGGCAAACCGATAATGAAGGCGCGCGATAGTCCTGATATCATGCCCATATCGTAAAATATCAAAATTAATGATAACCGATGATGGACAACACGGAACCAGGTAGCGAAAAACCTGCATCTGGAGAATCTCGAATCTTTTTGATCCATCGTCGTGTACGAGTATGATAACCCGGCTCACGCATCGCATCTAACCATTGCACCGCAGTGTACTGTACCGCTCCATAACAGCAAGCAAGCAAGCAAGATGTCGTGCAAGAGCGAATACTTACCTCTCCACGCGGGGAAAGCGCGGGAGAGTAAAAAAAAAAACCTCTCCTCCTCCCAAGCTCTCGGAAGGCGGAAGCTAGCGGGAACCTTGATTCCTCCCCCTCCAACACTTATCGTGCAAGAGTGAATACTATCATACATCCCCGGTTCTGTGTCAACAGCACGGGGAACGGTAATGATCCAAACCTCCGAATCGGAATGTACCGGTACCCCCCCACCCCGTCGTGCGGTATCAGGAACCCGCGGAGCGGGCTGACCACCTACCTGCTCACCGCGAATGGGCAAGTGTGGGGCGTAAGGCGATGTGAACAAAGCCGTTCCTGCGCCGTGGACATTTTCCCCCTTCCCTCCTTCCCTCCTTCCCTCCTCCATTCCGTGGCGTTGTGGTGGGTTAGGCGATGCAAAACATTCCTTTTTTTTTTCTTTCCCCTCTCTCGGTGGGGAAAAATCTCGAATTGATCTCACCATAGTTGCCGATATGATTAACTATGATGGATGGATGAGGGGGGTGTTGTATGCTATGTACGGTAAGGAATTGACCGATCTGGAAGTGTTTATACGATCCGATGATGGGTTTCGCGGTATTTTGTTTCTTCGCCGCAAGGCTTGCTCGACTCGAACAGGAGGTTTTGGCGCGGCGCTCCCAATGATTATAATTAACATTTCCACACTTCGGAATCTTTTTATCACTCACTCATTGATCTTGTAACGACCTGGGCAAAAGAAAAAAGTTAAAAATCAAGGATCAGATTTCGATATCACGATTTTCAACGATACCAGATACTTCCCAACGATAAAAACCCGGAACTCCACTCCCTGCCTGCCCAGGGTTAGGTTCCCCCCCGGTCCATCCTCCGTACCACCATAAACCCCCACACCGCGGACCCCTCGTCCCGACGAACCCAGGGCTGACAGACAACCTCACAACCATAGTCTACCCTGAAACCACACCTATCAATCCATCCATCGACAACCCTCAAATCTACGATCCAGAGATAAAACACGTCCCAGCTGAACAAATTCTTCCACGAAACAAATATGTCCGGTCGTGCAGGTTCGTGTTACCCTGGGAGGTTGAGGAGGAGAGTGCTGACGAATCCGTTGTGATAAAGGTGGTAAAGCAAAACCCTTGAAGCAGCCAAAGAAGGAGAAGAGGGAGGAGGATGAGGAGGATAAGGTTTGTTTTTTCTTCTTTTTTTCTCCCCCAAGATCGGGTGATCGAGTGGATCGGGCTAACGTCGTGGTGGTGGTGGTGGTGGTAGGCTTTCAAGGAGAAGCAAAAGAGAGGTTCGTTCCATTACGTGCCGTAGCTTCCGGAGGGGATGAGAGATGAATGGGATGAGCTAATGATTTTTTCCGGTTTTACGCAGAGGCTGCTGAGTTGAAGGCTTTGGCAGAGAAGGCTCGGGGGAAGGGTCCTTTGGTATGTTTCCTTACTCTTGTTGGCGGCTAGTGGATCTATGGACTGACGAGTCATGATACAGGCCACCGGAGGTATCAAAAAGTCTGGGAAGAAATAGATCTGGTTCATGGGAGAAGGCATCACGTTCGCAATATGGACGGATAGGTGCTTCCAATTTACGATACAACGCCGTGCTTTTCTTACCTAGGCGTACAAATTCCTAGTTATATCCTTTAGTGATCAATGAATGCCTTTTTTTTTTCATGGGAAGATGGAATTATGTATGGCTTTTGATATTCAATGGGGTGCACATATCATAGGCCGTGGGTTGGTATCATCACGGCCTAACACAGCGGCCTGCTATTGAAGGGTATAAAAACAAGTTTTCTATTCCCAAGCTTTAAAGTTCGCATCCAGCTTTACTGGCGGCGTCGGTGGAGCGACTTTTTGCTCAGGCCTCTTCTGCTTCCTGACGGTGACAATTCCAGCACTGTTCATATCCCATCCTACGCCGAATTCTTTCTTCAATTCATCCCACTTGGCCCCCGTGACGCTCTCCAAGTAGTTCACGTCCACAGTGAAGTAGCTCTTCCCCAAACACTTCAGTGTATGATCCCTCATCCGCTGCTCCGCATCCTCCAACAACCTGGCTTTATACAGATCCACCTTCCTCCGCGTAGCCCTGAAACTCCAGTAATTACCTTGGATCATCGCATCAACGGCCTGCAAGATCCTATAGTCCGTCACCTGAAACTCCCTCTTAACCATGAATGCCTCGTTATAGGCCTTCATCTTGCTCGCAAGATGAAGCACAAGGTATCCAGCGAATTCCTGCTTCTCGCTGGCTGACAATGGCACGTACGGGTGAATATCGTAGAGCAGGTGCTGAATAGCGGGGTGGTACGAATCCGGATGCTTCATGAGGATTGATACCCGGATCATGAACATGTAAGCCTTTGAGGAGAAAGCGTCGACTCGGGAAGAGCCTACAATCCCTTCTCGCAACTTCCGCATTGAGAGGATTATGCTGGCAAGTTCGGCATTGTGGGAGTCGGCGTAGCGGGCATTCTTGCCCTGGGCTACCATTGTTCCCGTTGAGGGGACTGCCGCTGCTAGCTTGACATCGAGGTCCGTGCTGCTGTCTGAAGAGCCGCAGAATTTGACGTACTTCTCGGTGATCTCGGTGTAGTACCTAATGGCATGTGAGTTGTTGGGATCCAAAGGTTGGATTTATGGGGAGGGGAGGATAGTTAACCTTTCCTGGCTCTTTCTGTCCAATAATCTTCCCCGGGTGTCTAGGTTAGTGCTTGACCAACAAGCTGGTCAGGAAAGCTATACCTGGTATCTCCTACCCAATAGTTAGCTCTACACCCTTCACTCACTCCCTCGACAAGCAAGTGTCGGGAAGCTTGAAAAACAAACCTTTGCTAACAAATCCATACTCATCAACAGCTGGTTTCAGCCGAGAAGCTCTCCATGATGCTGTCCTGGTGCTGAAGCCCTCCATATCCCCGGTTATCCCTCCAGAACTCGACCCCCCATTGACATTACTACCACCCCCTCCTCCACCCCCACCCCCCCGCCCCTTTTTCCCGCCCCTGACAGAATACTTCTCTGCGGCAGACATCCAGAGCACAGCTAGATATATCTCCCCACCGTCGTTAACAATAATATGGTAATAATAATAACGGAGGAAAGACCCCAATAGGTACGTCGGGGAGGTCAGGTTAGCGTGATACTAGCCACGGCATCAAATTACCAACAACGGTGGGACGCACGGTCTCGGGAACTAAGAAGAGATCGTCATTCTGGGGAAGGAAGGAGGGCAATTCCCGCAAACACGTGTTTTGTGATAGGGGGCTCCGCACAGCAAGTTATCGTTGAGCCTCAACTCAGCTTAAGTCAGACGTGCCCAACGTTAATACCGGTATTGGTATCATAAGTCACTACGAATTCCCAACAAAACATGAGACCGAACCACAACCGTACAACCTTTCTTGAAATATATATGTATATATATTTCCTCTTTTACGGGTCTCTTTAGGACCAGTTAGACCTTTTTTTATCCTTTCTCCCTTCTTCTGAATTGAGCTGTTGTGAATATGGCAGTCAAGAATCGGAATACGCAGCGCGGTGGTGCCGGCGGTGGTTCGGCCGGCGAGATGGTGGTTGAAGTTTGTAATTTACCGCTCGGTGCAATTGGAATTGGGGTTGCTAATGAGAGAGATACAATACACAGGGGGCAAAGAATGCAGAGAAGAAAGTTGAAGAGGCTCTTACTGTTCTTCTCCATGAATTGCGTGAGTACCCTTTTCTCCTCACGGTGATGATGGTAGCTAAAAATCAGCCCAGCACTATGGATGCAGTCAGTGTCTATCCCCTATATCTGTCACTCCCTCTAGAAATCACAGAGCCTGACTCGCGATATGCTTCAGAGACAACCACTTTATAGTCTCCGGCTACAGGCCTCAATCCTTTTCGTTCTACAAGAGCTTTCATTCCCTAACATACCTCCATAACGAAACCGGTTCCGCCGACCCCAACATACCCCCAATTAAACATCGACAACTAACAAGCCCAAAAAAGTAAACATCTATACCCACCTCCTCCCCGCCCTCCTATTCCTCCTGCTAGGGACCTACACCGTGAAAACACACCTCCTCCCCCGCTACCCAACGAGCACTGCCCCGGACCTCCTCTCCTTCGCCTGCTTCTTCGCGAGCGCAAGCACATGCCTGGGGATGTCGGCCACCTACCACACGATAAGCAACCACAGTCTAGCGGTCGCAAGGGTGGGCAACAAACTCGACTACCTGGGCATAATAATCCTAATAATGGGATCCTTCATCCCGAGCGTGCACTACGCCTTCTACTGTCGCCGGCGCCTCGCATACGCCTACTGGAGCATGATCTCCCTCCTGGGCGCCGGGTGCGCCGCCGTTTCCGTCATGCCGGGCTTCCGCACGCCGGCGTGGAGGCCCTTCCGCGCCGGCCTGTTCGTCTCGATGGGCCTCTCCAGCGTGCTGCCCGTCCTCCACGGCGTGCGGATATATGGCACTCGTGGGATGGACGAGAGGATGGGGGTGAGGTGGTTGCTCATCGAGGGGTTACTATATATCGCCGGCGCCGGGATCTATGCTGCTAGGGTTCCCGAGAGGTTCGCGCCTGGGAGGTTCGATTTGCTCGGGGCTTCGCACCAGCTTTTTCATTGCTTGGTTGTGGCGGCCGCGGGGTCGCATTTGGTTGGGTTGGTGAAGGTGTGTTTCTCTCCCCCTCTTTTTTTTCCTCTTTCTCTCCATTCTTTTCGTCTTGGGCAGGTGATTACGATAGTCCGTGAGTGGGTGAGTAAGGCTTGCTGAGAAAGGTGAAAAGAAGAAAGCATCATCATATGTTCCGCTATGCTAATGCGCCCTCTCACACACGGTACTTCTAGGGGTTCGATTACCTGCATAGTGGAGATGCGCAAGTGTGCGGTTAGGACCTGGCGTTTGGAGGTGAGGGGAAGGCAGGGCTGGCGGGAGATTTACTTTTTTGGGGGGAGAGAAAAAAAAAAAAGGTTTGCGACAGCGATTATTACAATACTATTAGTGCTGTTTTTAGATAATGCTAGGATTAAAAGTGCACATAAGCTGCGTAAAAATACATGTACAAGTACATGCAGGAGGTTGAGAGTTTCCCATAATATCATATTATCCGCCTCGTGAGATTATTCGTCCAAGAGACCACGGCAGAACCCGCCGTAAAAGCGTTTTGCACTACACATGCGGGGTCTCGTAGCCTACTTCACGTTGGTACGAACCACAATGCTACAGCTATAGGCAGAAAGGGAGGGGGAAGAGAGAGCGAGAGATAAACCGCAACTACTGTCATTTCCACCAGCCTAGTGATATCACTTTGGATTTTGTCGAGTCTAACCTACAATAAAAGAACGCACATCATATCTCATCCATCACAACAACCACAACACAAATTAATTCTCCGGCATGAAAACCCTTCTTTTATCCCAACCACCACCTCCTGAAAGGAATCGCAAACATGAAAACTACATCCTCGTCCTCCCGGTATTCTACTTTGGGTCCAAAACTACACCAGCAAAGTCCCTAGATGCAATATAGTCCAGGGTTCTCTCAAAGTGCTTTCTTGGTGTCTCGGTGGTGGAGCTATCATTGGAGCTGAGGTTGGACTGAATCAGTTCTATAAGCCCGTTGAGGTACTTGACCGTAACCTAGCATCTCCCAAGAACCATGTCAGATTTCACACTTCAAATATAGAAGAAAAAGAAAAGAATCAAATCCAAGACATTCAAAATGTGAGAGTAGAGTGTAGAGGGGGGAATCTTACAGCCTCGTTTTGGCGATCAAAATAGTATACGTATCTATTCAGAATCTCCACGAAAAGCTCCACGCTGACTGCGGTGTCCATGCATGCATCCGCTACCCTTAGTGCGCGCTGAAGGCATTCAAGAACCCTCTTTCCATCCCTGTACAACGGTGACCTTTCATCCTCACTTCTGGCTGGTATTTCGACAGCCCACCAAAGATGTGATGCCAGGTACACCGCACGACACTGGTCCGGCTTCTTGAGAAGCTTGCTACCATATTGCGCACATTTAGTGATCAGGGTATCGTAATTTTCTTTTGAAAAGTTTCGGGTCGAGTGCAACGCATTAGCGATGACACACACAGCCTGGAACTGGGCCCGAGAGTCCGAGATTGCTTCTTCGTATACGGTAAAAGCTTGTGCAAAAAACTCATATGCGACTTCTTCGAATTCCGTCTGATCTGATACTTGACCGCAGAAAAGGAAAAGCCGAAGACACAAATCCGGCACACCAACCCGATATATCGAGGTGACAGTCTGGTGCAAGAATTTATAAAGAGCTGCGCTCATGGTTTGCCACTCATTGTCATAATGCTCGCGGAGCTTGTAACGCCGGGCAAGTTTGATTCCGGAGGTAATTAGAGCCGGGGTTGTATATCTTATCCTATCGCCACCCTCTTTGAACGCTTTCCGAGCTGTTTGCAGGAGCTATGACCCGGATTATCAGCAACACTAAAGACCCGTCATCGGGAGTTCGTCCTACCTTGAATTGGGTATCATTATTGTCACTACATAATAAGTGTACTATCCTTGCCAGCCGACCTTGCTCCTCAACTGTTTCGTCTGTCTCAATGTCCCTACTCTTCCTAGGTGCTTGTGCTCCAGGATATCCTGCTTGTTGTTGTGCTCCTTCCCGAATCAATACGCGCAGCAACTCGAATATGCCTTCTGCATGCTCTGGGGTGGAGATCTTGGTTTGGTTCTTCAAAATGTTCTGCGCAACAACTCCTGCTACAGATCTGCGAGTTGGGTATGATTGTGTGTGCAAAAGGGGGAGGTAGCTTGGCAAGGCAAGCACTGTGAAAAGGGATGCATATGATTTGACAGGGGCAAGCATGAGGTTTAGTATATATTGTTGACACTGTGGTGAGTGTAAATCTGCGCTGTTGGCCATTTCTGACACCTTTTTGTGGGTATACCTATTGTGTGATATTAGCATCTGTAGACTAGTGGTGATATCATTGGACGTACGAAAGGATTTGGTCGACATATTCTGAGCACGGTTAGCATTTTGCTCTCACGATTGCTCAGAAAGGACTGAAATACCTAATCGGTCTGGATAAATATTCAATGCCAGATTGGCTAGCGATACCAAGAGGGCGATTATGTCCTGAATTGGAAGATTTTGGGCCTTCGAAGAAACGTAGAAATCAGCCGACGATCCTGAAGTGTGTCCAAAATTCCTCGTGTGTGCTCTTACATTGACCAGATTTAACACCTGTTTGAAGAAAATCTCGTACAGCTTTACATCCTCCGGAATACCTCTTGGGGGCTTCTCTGTAGATTCCGCAGAGGACTCATCCACCGTTTTTGAGTCCTTGTCCACATCCCCACCTTTATCCTCACCCTTATCCGTCGTATCCTCAGCAGGGGTCTCTGCAGGTTTTGTGCCATCAGTTGGAGGACCTGTTGTATCATCGCCGTCTTTGAATCCTTCATCCTCCACCTCCCTGAAGCCCTCATTTCCATTAGCTTCCATGATTGGTGGGTTTTTGTCTGTAACGGCTGGATCCGCCGGTTTGTTTTCCTCCGCACTACCGGCTTCCTGGAGTCTTAACTTCTTCAGCAAACCTTGCACAGCTTCTTCTTCCTTTCTTAATTTCTCTTCGGGGGATTCGGACTCGGCCTCACGAGCAGCATAGGCTGAGAGTCGATCCATAATGCCAATCACTATAGCCTTGACATTTACATTCGGGTTAAGTCTGGCAGTAGCAGAAAGGAATTGGTCAAGGGTGTGAAGATGAAATTCATCCGGGAAAACCTGCGTTATTACTGTGAGTTATTAGCATCGCGAGCTCTCTTCGAGGAGAAAGAATAATGCCCGAGGCTACCTTCAAGGAGATACTCTTGCGCCAATACATCACGGCATTGGACTACCTGTTCCAATAACGGGGCTAGGATGATATTCTTGTATGTCTCAAGATCGACAAGTTGACTCAATCTAACCAAATTGCTCCCCACCAGTAATTGAAGCTCCTTCCTCTCCTGTGTTCTCTTCTCACGTTCCCGCGAGTGACCTTGATGCTGCAACCGGACCCATAGCTTGTTCATCTCGATGAAGTTGGTAATTATGAAGGAGATCGAATCTTGGAAGTTACCTTCGGGGCTGTACATCATTAGTTACTTTGTAATGCCGTCAATGAGGGATACCAAACCCTTCACCGTTCCCCGTAGGTAAGTAATCTCGTGATTGACCAGACAGGTAATATCTCAAAAACAATCCCCTGCGAAATACGTCAACACATAGCACACAACACTCCCACCCCTCCAACGAGTAGACTCGTACCTTATAGGGTGTTGAACCCCACGACTCATCTCCATCATATCTTTCATAATCTCTTTGACCGGTGCATCCTCGATAGACATGTACACACTACAAAGTGTTAGAACCCATCTACTGGAAGCCGGGGTGTAAAACACTAACGTCCCGACCGTAATCATAAGGTACAACCGTGGAACAATATTTCCTAGAGTTTGATATTATAAGGTGAGCCGAGAGCATCAATGTTTCCAGCAATCACTAACCTGCATACTGCACTAGCTCATACAAATCTGCCAGATGATTCACCGGGTGGCTCTCCCTTAAATAGAGAGAAAGATGCCTCAAAGCATCAAAGACAGCCATGTAAAGCTCGTAATATTGTTTAGGTCCCAACGAGCTCGTTCGAAGTTCCGATACCAGTGTAGAGCTACACCAACCCCGCCGTTAGTCTCCCCTCCCCCCCTCTTTGATGAAAAATTTCCTTCCCAATTGCACGCACCTGCACTTCAGAGCATCCATCAGCTTCCCAGGCGTCTCCAAGCATTTTCGCATCAAAGCCGTCTGTTGCCGGACAATGGTGAGGGCATCTTGGAGAAGGATCTGTTGATCTTCCATTGTTTCGCTCGGATTTCCGATAGGCGGGAATCAGGGGGCGGAGCCAAATCTCGTGCTAGCGCTATAGTCTATTAGGAGCGGTGATTCAGATATGAGCGTGGATAGTAGACGAGCGATGTTAACACGGTGAGCGGTGGTGGAGATGGATGGGGGCCCTTCGGAAAACAACTTGTCCCATGGAGAGGGAGCGATGACGCTTTGGCGGATCGGTAGCAACCAGCGACTTCACCAGATCTCACTCTATAGTTCAATTGTGGCAGTGAAATCTTTACTTGCACGGCAGAACGCCTAAACCAACAAACACACAAAGCTAAATATCGGTACCTCTATCAGATAACTACAGTATTATCTTTCTAACATCTAAACCAGAAGCTTTCCAGAGCGCTCTCTAGGAAGGAATGTGAATGGTTGCTATGGCACCTGATCGGATTACCGCGGGCAACAAGAATGGGTACTCAATGCTACCAGCAGCTAGGATTCCCCCGTTGAGCACCAGCCCCTCGGAGATCCGGGAATCCAGGAACAACTTCTGGCACGAGCCAGTATGAACCATACGAGGCACAGCATACACGCCAATCCTACAATACCCACTGCTCCTCCGAGCAAAATAACGGCAGCGAAATCCCGGTATGCATAAATTTGGAGACTATGAGTAGTGGCATCCGAACGGTATGTCGTCACGTGGGCTGCAGGAACTGCTCTGCCTAGTCCGAGCCCAATCTAGATTGATAGATACAGTATGATACCAACCTCCGACCGTCCGTGGGGGTGAAATCGCAATTGTGGCAACGATTTTGGCATTTCAACTGGTTTGATTACAATGATTCTACATTTTCTGTTGGTAACGCTTCGGGAGGAGTACCGGTGCTGTATTATGTCTTGCAGAAGTTGCATATCAGTCGTTCGCTTGGTGCGCTGGTGAATAGCTGGAGGTATTACCGCACACCGGAGTGTATAGTACAGTACTCGAATACGGTAGTGCTACAAGTAGTACTGGGCTCGTACCACACATTGGCATGGGCTGGCTTCCCCGCCTCCGAAGACTGCTGTTGATTCCACGAATAATCATCACTTCCGCTGATTGAGGAATCGTTCGGGTGAAAATATCACGTCCGTTGCTGATGACTGCTATCTAGAAATTTGGATATTTACGCCTGGGGGAAGCTGTGCGTCGGGTGTGAGTTGAGAATCTCACTTCTAGATAACTCTCTCATCTTATCCCCGGGTCCCTCTTGGATGCGCTTCATACAGATGGATAGATGGATGATGCCTCCCGGTCCATAGCGTAACTCAAAAGCCGGTACAATATGCGGGTGCTCCAACTGACAGCGGCTTTTCCGGATCGGCGACCGACGAGTGCTGCGTCTTGGACCATCATGATGGGATGCCAGCACGCTTTGGTTGCCACTGGCTCAATATCGTACATCTCGAGACCAAGCAAATGGTTAATGGGGGTAATAATGTGACAATATATATATTTCTAGCCCTGGGCGCCGCCCCCGCAGTATCTGTCAGAACCGGCGATAAGTCAATGGATGCCTAAATTTTGAGCGCTTTACCGCTACCACCCTGTCCAAGACCGGGTTCGTGCGGGGGGAGCCGCGGCATATCATAAATTATCTGATCAAACCAGCACATTCCGCAGGCTTAGGAAACAGGTGATTACGCCTTCAGGTCGAAAACAGAGTGCCCTTTTGCCCATGTTTTTCTTCCTATCAGGGGGAAGGACTGTCTTGTTTCCAATAGCGAGTGATTGGGTATGATCCACTGTTGTCAGTTACTGGTTTTTTTCTATCCTCTCCTCGGGTGAGGGGTTTGGATTGGAGCATCCGGCTGGGAGCTCGAATCCCCCCTTCTTAAGCATTTCTTCATTCTCAAAGTAAGGCTTGTGAAATCAGCTCAGTTTCTCGATGGGGTCGGAAAAAAAAAAGCCGATCCGCGGTTAAAGATAATATCCATATGCAAAACCGACTCCATGAAGGGTCAGTGAACTTGCCGGCATATAGAGACATGTTTTCTGAATCGAGAGATGTTTCTCGTAGGGCTGTGCATAGCTCTTTTGTGTGATATGATATTTCCCCCGGCGACTCCCCAAATATCACTGTTGCCCGCTTGGACAGGTGACGATATCCGTAGTTGTGAGAGCAATCGAGCCCAAGCACAGCGAGTCGGCTGTGATAGCATTTCGAGGAGTTCTAATACAAGCACTACGGTGTTATTACTGAATGACTTTTTCAACAAGGCTTGACTAAAAAGATGATGGAGGCCTCTCGGGAGGGGATGAGACTTTTTCTGCTAGACCCCCCAGGCTCAGATGATGTCTCGATTGGGGGGGGGACTGTTTTTGATTGGATATTGAAGCGATGCTTTCTTTCTTTTTTCTTTTTTCTTTTTTTCTTTCTCTTTTTCCTTCCTTTACTCGAGTACTCTTACTCTTTACACCTTCCTTTGGCGTGAGCGATTATCCCCGAAATTGAACACGAGCAAATATTGAAGGTGCGCCTGAACTCAACCATACAGGACTGTAGGGTATCGGTATCGGTATCGGTATGATGCCAGTACGAGTACGATACGATATCTTAGGAAGGGAATTTTTTCTTCAGTTCCTCCTTGGCGTCCAGGATCATACTATATCATCTAGCTTTTGGTCTTGGGTGTGGACATGCGTTCGCCTGCATCACGCGCATCACGCACATATTCGAGTGCCAGTACTGTACGGTACCGGCGGTGCTCGGGCGTGATATCAGGAGAGTTCCCCAGATTCGTCAGTTTTAGTTGCCAGACGAAACAGAGCAGTTTCCCCTTCCAGCCACCCTTTTGCATCATGCCTCCCCCCCCTTGCTGCCTTTTATTGTCGCCCTGAGATATTTGAGGGTAACGAATTCTGGGTTCATGCCTTTGCTTTTGTTGGTATGATATTATGATAATAATAATATGATATTTATTTTTTGCCCACACTTGCTTATGGTTGTAGGTTATGGGGCAAGCAAGATGTTACCCTCAACCTTTTGCTGTGTGTGTCTCTTTGCTCTTCTTCATCCCTTGCTCCCTCCCCTTTTCCCTTCTCTCTCCCCTCCCGCAACCAACCTCCCACCTTGCGGCGTTACCGTAGTTGCACCACCTGTTATCTCGTAACCCACTGCAGCAGCTCGCTCGCCTCGCTTTCGCCTCACCCCTCCTTCACTCCCTCTCTCTCCTCCCTCTCTCATCGTGCAGCTGCTCTTGTCACATAATCACATAAGACCCGATAATCCAACGAATCCCCCCGAGATCTCCGCGATAGCTATCAATACAAGGCGTTCGCGCGTGAATTACTGTTCAACAAACACAGGCGAGGAAGTTAAGTGTTTTTTTTGTTGGCAGCTGGACTATATAGTCTCGTCAGCCTCGTTGTTTCTTCCCTCGCCTTTTCCTTCCCGCGTTCCACATCCACCTCCATCCACATCACTTCCCCCATCCATTCCATCTATTTCCACCCACAACCCTTCATCAGGTCTGTTCACTTATTCATCCCACCAGTAACTGATCTGACAATCCATCCAGATCAAACCCCTCCACCCCTCGTATGCAATTAATCTCGTCCGAATACTTGCAAAGATTTTCCGTCAACTGACTCTTCTACTCTCGCTAATATAGACTTTTCGGTCAAGCATGGCGAACGAGTATTCGGGAACACGCTTGTACTTGGGCAATCTCCACAAGGACGGTTTGTTGCCATATTTTATCTTGCTTACCTTTCCTTCCCCCGCATTGTTGGCTTGATGGCCTGTAAAACTTTGATGTCTGTCTGATGACGACAGCAATAATAATGATGGTGGAGGCTCGAGCTTTCATCGGTCTTTTTTTTCTTTCTCCTCCTTTTTATTACTATTATTATTATTATTATTATTATTATTATTATTATTATTATTATTATTATTATTATAGCTGACCCTTCTACAGCTCGCAAGCAGGAAGTCGAGGATTTCTTCAAGGAACATGGCAGTGGAAACGTCGTCGAAATTAAACTTATGAATGGGTTTGGCTTCATCCAATACGACAGCGAGGCAGATGCGAAGGATGTTGTGCCTGGTACGCAGGCCTTGATTATTATCTACTTACGTCGCTGACTGCCGTTTCTTCTGTTAGCCTATCATGGCAGGGATTTCAAGGGTCAACCTTTGACTGTTCAATTCGCTCGCGGTAGTCGACACAACCCTCGTCATCACGATTTTCCGGGCGGCGCGGACCGCACTTTTCCTCGTCCTAGACGTACTGCGTTCAGAATGAATATTTCTGGACTTAATCCCGATACCAGCTGGCAGGTGGGCACACAATTACTCCTCGTTTCTACTGCAACTTAGGCTATAGTGAATTCCCCATTGGGATGTCCCAAGCCTGATATGCATCCACTCCTGTCTTTTGAATATATCCCTTATGCCTGACCAGGTCCTGGCTATGGTTTATCCCTAATCCGGAGGAATGCCTCTTTCCCCATGTTGTGCTGGTTGGCCCCTTCTATGGAGTTGGAAATCCTGTGCGAGAAATTCCTATTATCATGGCTTGGGCATCAGCACCATTTTGTACTCCCCATTCCGGGATTTGTGCCTATATCCATGGTTATACTGCCGGAACATTTTCCAAGGATTTTTGTATCCATGCGCGTCTGCTTTTTCTGGAGGAGCCTCAAGTCTGCGAGTGGTCTTTATTCGAATTCAACTCATGCGAGGTTTTTTCTGCTACCTAGGATCTGAAGGACTTTGCTCGCAAGTCCGGCTCCGACGTCGTTTTTTCCGAGGTCACCCGTGAACGTGACGGCCGAGGGTGAGCTACCATACATATCTGATTTCTGAACGTTGGGCGTCTGCTAATTGGAGTATAGCATGGTTGAGTTCGAAACCCACGATGATCTGAGGCGTGCAGTTGCTTTTTTGGATCGCACGGAGTTCAAGGGAACCCAAGTGTCCTGTACCCCCGACGTACTAGCGGTATCACAAATTCATCAACTCTCCTCTGATTTTCGAGTGCTCATTGGTTCCCCAGGATCATGATGTCCCTCGTGGACATGGCCCCGGACGTCGTTCTGTTTCACCTAGAGGTTACGGTGGCCGTCGTTATTCCCCTAATCCTTCTAGGGGTTATCATTCACCACCTCGTCATAGCCGTCGTTACGAATCCCCTTCCAGGGGCTATCGCGAGCGCTCCCCTCGTGGGGGGCGTGAGCCCTACTACAATGGTGGTGGTGGAGGCCGTGATAGATCTCCGAGACGCCTTCCTCCCCCAGCCGATGACTACCCCCCTCCTCGCGGCGGCGGATATGGTGGACGTGGTGGTGGCGATGACTACCCTCCTTCGAGAAACGGCAATGGATACGACGATGATTATAGAGGTACGAATGGGTCGGGCAGGAGGCATTACGATGAATCCCATAGAGGACGTCCGGTGAGTCCTCCTTATAGAGGCAGGAGTCCTCCACCAAGAGGGCCACCACCACGCGGGTACGATGATTATGATCGTCGTCGTTATTGAAATTTTTTTGAAGAAAATTGTTGGAGGTTGGTATTTTGCGGATTTTTTTGTGGCTAATGCTCTGTGCGCGATGGCTTCATTCAACCATAAAGAACTAGTCCTTAGCTGACTCGAAGGCCACACAAAAAAATCACTAAAGACACCCCAGCACTCATGATTGCTTCATGAATGAGATGGTATAGTTTCGGGGAAAAAGGTTCGCGATTATTTTTCGGGATGGTAGGGGACCTGGCAAATAGGGGTGGCAATGGGAAGGGTTGGAATGTCTATTGTTTCAAGTTTCTGTTTTCTACTCTTTTTTACTTCACAAAGTTCTGATTTTTCGATTTTTTTTCTCGCCTAAAAAAACCTTTCGCTTTACTTTATGGCCTGGTCTTAGCTTTTTCGTGGTGGTTTCCCTTTTGATTTCCCTTTTGATTTCCTGCTCTGTGCCTTTTCTATTCTATACGTTTTGTAAGGAAAGTCAATGAAGTGAAGTTCCTACGACAAATATGCTAAGAGGAAGAGGCGGAGGTTACCCATGAAGGCAGTTTTGATAACTAAGGACGCCGTCGGCATGCGAGAGGTGGGAAGTGATGATAATATTTGGATGGCTGGGTCGTGCTGATCATCAAATGTCACTCGAAGACAGGGCTGGATCTCTGCCGGTTGATTGGGGGCAAGAAAGGCTTGGCGAGGACCGATTTCACGTGAGGGATAGCCGGCTGGTTGGGTAGGTAGGTAGGTAGGTCTGTAGCTGACCAGGGGTTTTCGATCTTGTTATTTTCTAGGGGTTGACACTGTGGGGAATCAGAAAGTGATTGAAGTGGGGATTCCGTGTTGGTCATCGTGGATAGGCGGGGTAAGGGATGGGGGATGGGGTGTTGAGCATTCTAAAGGAAGAGCGTCATGAAGAAGGTATTAAGGCGAGTTAATGTTCTGGTGAGTGATCTGCCGGGGGGATCCCAATGGTTGGATTTGTGTGTGTGAGGGTTTGTGTCTGGTATCCGGCGGTGATATAAATTGGGTATACTGTCTACTTCTACAAGTTGGTTGCCCCCTCTTTCTCATCACCCGAAAGTACGTGCGCCACAGCTGTATTCCGAAAAACTGGGGCAAACAGAGCACACGTAACCTTCATCACACAAATTTATCTTATATGATACTACCATCCGTTAGCAAGCTAATGTGCTCTCGCTACGGAGATTCTTTCACGTTGGGATTTTCAAGCGTTAGAGTGACAATTCATGATGCAGGGTAAAGTCGACAGATCTGGGGGGTATCCTCTCACTTGCGCGATCGAGATTGGCAGGATTGCCCGATGTTTGCATAGGGATATGGGAGAAGCCGGTTGAGACAAAATAGCTTGGGACAGGTATCATAGGTTGGGGTATCGGAGAGGGATCTCTGGGCGGAAAGTTGTCCGGGAGATGCTGCGGGGTCACAGCGGGCTTTGGGCAAGAGTAGGTGAAGGAGCAGGTGGTGGCTTTACCCCGCTTGTGGGCGTCAGGCACTCTGTTGGGGAAGATAGAGAGTGTGGCGGGGAGGAAGTGGTCTCATGCTGCTAGCTGAAGAAAAGAAGGAAGGAGCGAGCATGGATAGATGGAAAGAGACGATGTATTCCTAGGATTGGGTGGTGTTTGTCAGACATGAGGAGATAGTGCAGTGTGCTGCGCTGCAAGGTTAATTGGTGACATTTGGCGATTTCACCTCTTGCTCTTCTTGTATGAAATTGGGAAATCTTTCCTTCTACTCTTAGAACTGAGCCGTTAGCAATCAACTATCATACCCGCCCATGCTACCGGCGCTCTGGTAAGATCGGGAACCAACTACCGGTAACTAGTTAGGGTATCATACTCGAGTAGATACAGCCACTCGGAAAAGTCTCGGTGAAGTGTAATTTCTCTTTGCCGGTAGAACGCCTCCCCCCCCTCAAACACAAATAGAGACCCCAATTGCGATGCCATCTCAATCTCTGTCAAAGAGAAAACACCGTGCCAAAAAAGAGGCCTTTGCAGAGCGACCGCAGCACATGCCCAAAAATTCCGATTCAAGTATCCTATTCAATAGGAGCTACTGCAACATACCGACTCTCAAGTTACCATGGAATTGTGTGAGAGGGGAGTGGGGGGGGGGGTAAACAATAACGATAGAGCAGGAGCCTTAAAAGTGTAATGACGACTTCCAACTTAGGGGAACTTGTTAACTGACCGACTTGCCGGTAGGAATATCTGCACTGTCTGTCCATCTGTCCGTATGTATGTATCGTACGTACGTCAGACCCCGACGATTGTTCACGAAAAAAAAGCCAGCCCGGCGACCAGAATACAAGGGGTATGGTACCAGTAGTGCAGTATAATCAATACCAAACAGAGCAATTGCCCAATCCCTCTCTCTGCCCATCATACCCGATTCCTCCTACACATACCGTCAAACCCCGAAAACCGCCCCCCACAGCCAGGCATTTCAGGGACACACACACACACACACACACACACGGAGCGAGAAAAATTTCGGAAATTCCGGTACAGTTAGCGGGGCATTCCTGCAACCACACCAAGTTTATTTTTGTTTGTGTACACATCATCTTTTTATCCGGTACAACCAGAATTTTCACTCAAAGAACTACTCCACCCCCTCACTCACGATACTCCTCCCTTAGGTGGTGTGGCCAATCACAGCCCTCCATCCTAAGGCTTCATTTCCTTTGAGAGTTTAGGACGCTGGCCATAAGACCATCCTACTCACTCACCATGACCTCCCAACCTGTCGTCCCCGGCCCTGCCGCATCTCCCCCACTCTCCTTCTCCCCTGGGAGGACCCAGAAGCCCTACCAAGAGCCCAAGGGTTAATTCCCCCAGCCTCCTCCCGCCCGGCTCCCCTCAAGGAGTCTCCCTCAACTCGACCCTCCCCATGTTTGCCACTATTAGGCACCAAAGGGGCTGCCCCAACGCCTTAATCAACGTGGGAAACAGAATCGTGGCCAGGGGAAGCACTTTCCCCGAGGTCAGACAGGAACTAGGATGCACTAATGCATGCTACGTCCTCCTCACCGGAAACACGAAGGCCCCGACCATAGCGGCACCCCAACCGGAGCTCCCAGGGTTCAGAACCACACTCCAGAAAATCTTTGGCAATGAAGCGGTAGATGCGGCCGACACCGACGCCTTAGCTTTCCTGGCAGCAGCAGCCTCTTCATACCACCCGTCACAAGAAAGCCCTGTACCAGTATCCCAGATACCACAGGTACCCGCCTCCTCCCCACCGCTGATCGAAACGAACGAACCCATGGACCAATCCCAAGACATCGGGGTAACCGAAACGCAAGCCACACAAGATGTAGCAATGTCCCTGGGAAACGGGAAGAATACAGACCAGACCGGGTTAGGAGATAGCCAGCACGCCCACGGACCAAGCGAGGTGCCGGAGAGCTCGAACCCCCAGAATGTACCAAGACAGGTAAGATTTTCCTCCCCCTTGGCCACGACAAGGGAAATCCCGGGGACCCCAACGGGCAATATGACCAACGACACAAGCTCCTCGCAAACCCAAAACCGCCCCATCATTCCCTCCTCCTCCTCCCTGTATGAATCGACGGAAGTCGAACTCACACCAGAAGAAAAGGAGGAACTAGGACGCCCCGTCACCGTAGGCATTATGGTGGGCTTCATCCACCAACTGGAAAAGAAATTCCAGGAGCAGATGCAGGCAATGGAGGAACGGCTTACCGGGGAAATAAGACTAAGGACTAGACAATCCAACACCAACACCCCTACCCCTACCCCATCCGCTGCCCCTAGACAACCCAGAACCCAAACCCCAGCCCCCAACCAAAACCCCCCCCCCACCCGCAACACCGCACCGCAGCCCCCCCCCCCCCCCCCACCGGCAACCCGCGACCGAGCCCCCCCCCCCCCCCCTCAAAACAAATCCTAAGAAAGCCTAAGGGAGACGCACCAATACCGGCACCACAAACCGGGACGAGTACCAAGGCAAACGAAGCCGCCCCACAGAAAACAACGCTCAAACAGACATGGGCCACCATCACGTCCTCCGGAATTGATATGGACGGCTTCCGGCTAGTGCCAACAAAGAAAAAAAGGCAAGAGCCAGCCCCAGGCATCCGAGAGACAGCGCCCTCGGCACCCTCAACCCCGCATGCCAGGCAAAGGAGGCTACTCATCCGGTCGGTAGAAAGAGGCCGCAGGATAGGCGCAGCAGGGCTGTCACCAGCAAGAATCAGAGACGCGGTCAACTCGGCATCCAGGGTTAAGTTCGCATACGCAGAATTTAACCGAAATGACGACCTGGTACTCACCACCATGGGAGACCTACCGGCCGAACCAGCCCTCGACGACGTACCGGCAATCACCAAGGCCCTAAACGGTATCGACGTTTTCGGCTTCAATGTCACCACAGACACACCGTCCATCAACATCGTCATCAATAGTATACCACTAGGGGACGAAGACTGGACACCCGAAGAATGGGACACGGACTCGGACAGATGGGAGGACCTAGCAAAGGAAATCTCGGAATACAACCCACAGGTCCGGCTGCTAGACAGGCCTAAGTGGCTCAGGTCCCCGACAGCGCTCAAAGCTGAAGGAAAAGCCAAGTCCTCAGCAATAGTGGCGGTGGAGGCAAACGACTGGATCATGGCCGAAACAAAAAAACCCCTCCCGAGCATGGCCATCTTTGGCATGAGGTGTACCTTCCGGAAATATGTAAAGAAGGACTCATCAACCTGCTGCGCAAGGTGCCTACAGTTCGGACACCATGCCGTCCATTGCAGAATGGAAGCAATATGCAAATACTGCGGAGGAAGACACCACACCAAAGACCACCTCTGCGCACAGACGTACTGCACGGCGGGAAAAGGCAAGATGTGTTCCCATACCCTAAGAAGATGTGTTAACTGCGAAGAAACCTCTCATTTCGCCGGAGATAACCATTGCCCAACTAGGACTAGGGCAAAGTCCCCAGTACAACTCCCCACGGCCGCGGATAAAGGAAAAGCACCAGCAGTGCTGGCCCCCCCCCCGACGCCTAAATAAATATGGCGACAACAGATATAATTTATCACAACGTCGGCGGGTCCATGAACGTTGTCACCGAGTTGCTGAAACTCTCAAAAAAACGGAAACCGAAAATAATAGCGATTGCAGAATGCCCTCTCGAGAATGAGGACTGGATACATCTGGAAGGATTTACATGCTACGCTAGCACAAAGGCGACGAGATACGGCTGTGCCGTATATATTTTAGATAAGTACGTTCACATGTTTGTGGTTGAACGGATAACGACACAATACATTACATTGTGGACCGGAGGCACGGAGATTACCATTGGCTACCAGAGACCCTCGGCAAAGGACTTCGACACAATAAACCAATGGCACACACACGGGGAAAACAACATCCTAATAGGAGACATGAACGCACACCACCCAACTTGGTCACAGGGATGCCAGAACACGGCCGGGCTAAAGCTAGCCAGATGGATGGACGA